CTTTCAACTGTGTGTAAATAAGAAACCAGCTAAATTTAAATCAATTTTATGTGTACATAGCTTATACCGGTCTAGTTGAAGATGGAACCAGAATGACCGCGAGGCAATCATTTTTCAACATTATTTCCAGGAAAAAAGGAGGATATTCAATGCGGTGATTCTGGATACAAATTAGTTTGCGTTGTTTTTTAAATTTGAAGACATTACTTAGTTTTTGAAAATACTTTCTTTTATCGGGAATGGGGGCTGTAGTCACTCAAAGTGAAGTAGTTTTATAATAAAATCAAAACGGAGAAGAGATTCAATGTCCAGTTGATGTGAAATTCTGTGGGCATAGCCCTAACCTCCAGTAGGTGGCTGTTACTAGTCATTTGGTAAGGTGCCCGAGTGAGTCAGGGCATCGTTGCATAGTCAAACGCACCAGGCTGGTGAGGGGTTGAAACGTGTTGACCCTTTTCTACTCCCCCCCCACTGGGCCCTAACCGCCTGACTTTGTGAAGGGTTGGGCGGAGGGGGGGAGGGGTGAAGCTTCAGAAAAATTTTCTCCTGGGCTGCTCTATTTATGAGTTTCAACCAAAAAGGGGAACTCTTTTAGACACCTTTTGAATCAAGAAGTCTCCCTCTCTAATTTCCTTACAATTATGAATGAGAGAAAAAATTAAAAAGCAAACGAACATACACAAAACATATTTTGTGAAATAAAATAGTCAAACCACTTATCTCAGGAAACCCCACAAGTTAAGAGTAGAAAAAAAACCTCACCCGTTCCTAATTTGAATCTTCGTGAAGATGTGCTCCTTCATGGTATAGAAGACACAGGAAACAATAATGGAACCTCATATCATCAACCTACTGCGCATACTGGTTTCCTTGTTCTTTGGGTTTTTTTTTTGTTTCTTTTTATTGTGCTACGTCATCAGTGTCCGTCTACATCAAGTTAGAGCCTGAAATTTAAGGGCGTCACCACACAGTCCATGATTCGGGGCACTGACAGGAGGACACCCTTACATCAGAATGTATATTCTCCGTAATGTTCACTATTTACTTTCTTAGGTACGGACACGGAGAATTTGTTAAACAATCATTTCGTCTATTCTTGATTCAAGGGTGATCTTTAACCCTTTAACCCCTACGAGTGACCAGCTTCTAATTTCTCCTTACAATATCACC